CAGCAGCACCACCAGCAATACAACCAACCCCCAGTAACCCCACCGGGAACCTGTACCAAGGAGCCCCAGCCCCAGCCCCACCCCCAGCCCCCCCAGCCCCACGAAAAACATTACCTTGGGGCCAGCACAAACTTGGGAGCGGAAGTTGGAGAAGTGGCTGGGGGGGAGGTTTTCCCACCTTTTTGATTCAAGTTGGCCACATTTGCCCTAACATAACCAAAATTTCCGTGGGGGGGGGGGGGGGGGGGGGGCGGGCTTAAGTGGCAGGCGGCGTGGTGGAAAGTGTTGAGCGAATCGCTAGCGCACCACCAGCACGCGACAACAAAAAAATAATGGACAGCGACAACCAACACCAACAACGACGACAGCGACAACCAACATCACCAACCAAAAACCAAAAACCAACAACCAACAACCAACACTAAACACCCAACTGACAAACCATGTACTAGTAACTACAACAGGGTAGAGGACACTAGCCTTGTAGGTGACGTGGGCGGACGAGATGAGCTCGAAGAGGTTCATGATCTCGAGGATCGTGGCCATGCCGGGGACGAAGATTAGCACCGCGGACCCCGGAGACGCCACCCCCCTCGCCACTTGCACCGCCATGTTCGTCTGGAGGCTCAACACCTGGGGGGAAGCAAAGAGAGATGGAGCGGTCAAACAGAGAGAGAGCAGCAGCAACAACAACAGCAGCAGCAACAACAACAACGACAACGACAACAACAACAGCCAGGTACAAATGGACCCGTGAGGACAAAGAAGAGCGCGAATTGGGGGGGTGCAGTGCACGCAGACCAATCAAGGCATTGACGAACTATTGACAAGCAAGGGATTACGATACGTAAAAGAGAAAAAACAATGCAAGTTCAAGCATTCGGTTGCAACTCCGAAAAGTGCCATAAAGAAGAAAAAAAGGGAGAAAGACGATGGACTAAGTCAAAACGCTTTCCACCGACCCAGCAAGAAATTGACAAACACACACAAAGTTTCAGGTACTGCAAAAACAGAACAAAACAAACAAAACACAGGAAAACAGCCTTCAGGCAAGGAAGTACATAATACGCACGAAAAATGTAAGTATGTAGGTACGAACCGATTGTTTATCGAGAACAAGCGAGGTACAATCTGAAGCACGACCGCAACCAATCAGACGATAACAACAACACGGGAGGGTTAAAGACAGCAGTAGGGGATACGCCTCTGCGCCCTACAACGATTGCTTATCACAAAACAAACCGACACAATCTGAAGCGCCCATGCCACAACAACACGGAATGTCAAGATAGCGGAAGGGATATGGTCCTGAGTACAACCTGAAGAACGATTGGGACCAATCAGGCAACAACGACACGGGAGAGTCAAAGACGGCAGAAGAGATGTTGCTGCTGTACCCTGTACCCTGTACCCTGTACCCTGTATGCATACCTTGGGTGTGACTCTGGCCGTCGCGTCGCTGGTGGCTAGCTCGATGCTCTCGCAGGCCTTCTTCAGCACACGGCGATAGGAGAGACGCTGGGCCAGCTCGTTCACGTACACTTGCCTGAGACGGGAGAATTTGGCGTTGTTGTTGTGGTTGTTGTTGTTGTAGTGGTGGTGGTGATTGTTGTTGTTGTAATGTTGTTTGGGGTAGGCGGGAGCAACCAGGGGACAGGGCATTTGTAGCCCCGCCCCCCTGTACCCATTTCACCAGGATGGCGGCGCTACCTACAATACCAAATAAATACCCACTTAGTACATACCATCGTCACAGAGAGTGCCCACACACACTTCCGGTGGCAAACGAAGCTAGCAGAAAAAAGGTCGAGTAAACTCTGGGGTAAAGGTGGACTCAAACAAGCCCAATATCCACTCACTGCTGCAACGACTGCATGCGACACATTGCTACGACTGGGGTATTGGTAGTCTTGCGGTGATCTCGTGGTTGTTTTCCGAACGCGTATTATAACAGAAGCACATAGTTAATTTTTCTTACCTGACGGGGAATCGCCTCGACCCGACGAAGAGAGGGGAGGACGTGAGACCGTAGTACTTGCTGAGGAGGTTGGCCGAGAGGGTGGCGCTCATGACGATGAGGCGGAGGGTGGGGTGGGTTTCGACCAGCCTCTTGGCGAACAGGCACAGGAGGTCGGTATCCACGGACCGCTCGTGCACCTGAGGGTTAGAGATACAGGGTTGGTTAGGGTTGATGCCGAACACGCCAAGCACGTGGTGGGTGGGCACGAAAGTAGCAAAAAAAAAAAAAACACACCCCACCACCGACCGTCGTGGAGAAAAAAGACCTTCCCGAAACAGAACCACCGGGGCCTGGGCACACAACCCGAAAAATACAACAAAAAAAAACTCGTTGCTATCAATCAAGCATGCACGAGGCGGATCAGATGCGCTGGTGTGCAACACCAGACACGACAACACAACCAACAAATATATACTGCGACACAGGCAAGCAATAACAACAACGAGGACAGCAGGTACGATGACACAGACAAACACAAGACACAAGCAACAACAACATCGAGGACGACGACGACGAATCCTCTCTTCGAAAAACACAAACACCAAAACACCAACAAATGGCTACAATACGCCAGCACAAAAAAAAAAAAAAAAAGGGCAGCACCAAGACGAACCTCGTCGATGATGAGGTGCGTGTGGGAGTCCAGCACACCCGGGTTGCTCGCCAGCAGCCGCGCCAGGTAGCCCGTCGTCGCGAACGTCACCTCCGCCTTGGGCGGCCCCTCCCGCACCCCGTGCCCGAGCCTCAGCCCGACGCTCCAGCCCCTCCCAGACCTCTCCGCCTCCTGCCTCACCCTTTGCACCAGCGCCCGCGTCGCTGCCCTCCTGGGCTGAGAAACGAACATCCTCGGCCGCTTGACCTGCGGCGCAGCAGCCGCGGTGCCGCCCGCGGAAGACTCCGCGCCACCGCCGCCGCCGCCGCCTTCCCCGCCCGCCTGCACACCCACCTCCTCGCCTCCGCCGCTGCCGGTTGTTCCACTCCCCCCCCGCCCCCCTCCAACCCCGGTGCCCCGCCCCCCCCCGGCTCCGGCCTGCACCCCCTCCCGAACAGCCTCCGCCACCGCGGCCGCCTCCTCCGCGATGAGGTCTAGCGCCTCCTCCACCAGCATGACAGGGATGCGCGTGCTCTTCCCGCTGCCGGTTTCCCCGTGTATGACGGTCACCCTGTTGTTCCGGACGTGCTCCAGGATCTCCTCCCGGTAGGCGTCGATCGGAAGGGGAACCGCGGCATCATCGACGGGCGGCGATGATAAGTCGTCCGGCTGCGTCGCCCCCCCCGCCGCGTCCGCGCCTCCTGTGTTGCCTCGGTCGGGACTGTTGTTGTTGTTGTTGTTGTTGCCTGCTGCCCCTTTGTCGCCAGGGGAACCAGCGGCAGCAGCAGCAGCAGCAGCAGCGATGGAGATGTCATCATCCCGTTCCTCCTCCTCCTCCTCCTCCGTTTTCTTCGCGGCCGCGGCCGAGTCCTCCTCCCGGTACTCGTTCAGCAACGCGTGGAAGGTGGGTCCGTGGAAGTGGTCGCGAGGCATGATGAACTCGGCCGAGCACGAAGAGGAAGTGGAAGACGAACGCCGCTTGCTACCGCCGCCGCCGCCGCCGCCGCCGCCACGCCTCCCTCCCCCCTCTCCCGCCCTTTTTTTCTTCGCGGTGGAAAACCCTCCCGCGGAGGAGCTCTTGCCCCCGCCCCCGGCTTCCGCCTTCTGCCTCTGCTTCCTTACAGAGGCCAAGCTCTTGCCGCCGTCAGCGGCGGCGGCGGCGGCCGCAGCGGCAGTCTCGTGGTTGTCCTGCGCTTCCCGCTCCCGGTACATCCGGAGGAGGTTTTTCTGGTACCGCATGGACAGGAGGACGTCCGGCCACTTCACCTGCGGAGGGGAGGTAAAAAAGACGAGAGATAGGCCCCACGGGTATGAAAAGGGAGGGAGGCAGGGAGAAAAAGCCAGGGAAAGAGGGACCAAGGCACAGAAAGAGAGGGAGGCAGAAAGAGCCACAAGAAAAAGCCATGGCTAGAGGAAACAAGACACAGAACGAGTGGATCTGGATCTGAGCGGGGGAGAGGACGACACACACACAGAGAGAGAGAGAGAGAGAGAGAGAGAGAGAGAGAGAGAGAGAGAGAGAGAATGCGAAGGGGGACGAGGGATAGCGGGAGAACTCGAGAGACGGGGCCGGGGCGTGCGTCTGAGCAATTGGTGCCGCACGGAGGGACGGGGGTTGTCAGGACTTGCAAATATCCTCGCTTCGCCTGGGGCATGCTTGCAGTCTCATGGCAACGCCGAGCAGCAGCAGCAGCAACAGCAGCAGCAACAGCAACAACACCGACACCACCAACACCACCAACAGCAATTCTCACCCGGACATCGGCTGCCAGCTCCTTCCTGTGCCCGCGCGCCACAGCCCACAGGGCCGTCCTCCTCGCCGCCGCCTCCACGCGCTCGAACTCCAGCCGCAGGTCCTCCTCCTCGTCGCTCACCCCCGGCGCTCGGTTCCAAACCTTGTCGCCGGTGACGACGTCACCCCCGCCGCTGTTATCACTTCCCGTCATCGTTCCTAAGCTGCCGCTGCCTTCGGCTGCCCCCCCTCGTACTACTACCGCCTCCTCCTGCTCCAGTGTCCGCCGTAGGGCCTCGAAGACGGCGTCCCCGTAGGGCCTCTTGAGCAGCTCCGCCTGAAGCTGATGGTACCCCCACCCAACAAAAAAGCGACGCTTGCAATCGTCATGTGTGGGAGATTCTGAGGTTGAGACGAAGCCCGTGCGGTCTCGTCCGAGACTCTCTCTGTCTCTCCCTCTTTCTCTCTCTCTCTCTCTCTCTCTCTCTCTCTCTCTCTCTCTCTCTCTCTCTCTCTCTCTCTCTCTCCCCTCTCTCTAAACAAAGCCTTGATAGGAGAGGACGCATTGTGGTGTATACAAGGTGTACAGTGTATCATAGCCAGTGGTTTTCCACATCAGGAGAGGCCAACCAGAATTCCAAACGGATCAGATGCCACACACACCAGCGCCACAATCATTCAAGATACAAACCTCATATTTTCCCCGTGGCTCGTCTGTGGAGCAACCCGATAGCTATTACCGTATATGACACAAGATAACACACCCCCTGGGCCGATTTTCAAAGCGCGATTACTCCACGACGAAGAGGATGCAAAAAAGAACCAATACGTTTTCGGAGAGCTCTCGACCAGACGGTGTCAACGCCGCCGTTTTCAGCGCTGCGACTCTTTCTGCTGTGCAGCTAATCGAGCTTCGAAAATCGGTCCAGGGGGTGTGTCATCTTGTGTCTAATACGGTTGTGCTGTCATATCGCTGTACGCCCAAAAAACGGCCCTTCCCTATCATACACGGGGGCACAGCAGACACAACGCACCCGTAGAACACAAAAACACGCACACAACACACGACGGTGACTGACAAAAAAGAGGAAAATCCAGGACCGTGCATAACTCCGAATCTGGAAGGAGGTATACGGGGACACCAAATCCTACCATACCGTGTGATCAGGGAGGTCGCGCAGAATATTCCTGCCACCCCGAGACTAGGGGGGGGTACACTGAACCTGGCCCCTCGACGGGGCTGCCTATACTAAGGCCTATATAAAACAACAAAAAATGTACTTCGTACCCCCCTTACCTTGGCGACGGGGCTCCCTGTACTAATTCCTATACAAAACCACAACAAAAAATGTATCCCCCTTGCCTCGGCGACGGGGCTCCCTGTACTATGGCCTACTTAAAAACCACAACAATATGTAATATACATACCCCCCTTACCTCGGCGACGGGGCTCCCTATACTAAGGACAATATAAACACCACAACAACAAAAAATACCCCCCTTACCGCGGCAACGGACAAATTCCAATATACAACCACAACAAAAAAGGTAATATGTATACCCCCCTTACCTCGGCTTCTACGACGTCCAGTCTAGTGAGGGGCTTCTTCTGCTGATGAATGTTCGGGGCCGACCTCAGGTTGAGCCCCTTCTTCCTGCCGCCAATCCCGGCCTTGTTCAAGAACTCGTCCGGTCCCATCCCTTTCGAGCCGCCGCCGCCGCCGCCGCCGCCGCCCCGCTTCCCTCTCCGTCGCCTCGCCTGCCGGTTGCCCCCCCCCCCACCGGCATCGCTAGCACCAGTGGAGTCGCCCCCGCCGTCCCCCCTCGTCCCGAAGGCCGCGCCGGGACCGCGGCGGCTAGCAGCAGCACTGCCCTCGAGGGCAACAGCAGCAGCGCCTCCGCCGCTTGGAGAGATGGCGGCGCCTCCTCCACCCCCGAGCCCGGCGACAAGACGCTCGTCCTCATCGGCAGCGCCGGCGCCGGTTACCTTCGCCGCGCACATACGGCCGGTTTCATGGTGCTGCCGAGGGTTAGCGTTTGATGTATACAAGCCAGCCGTCTTTTCTGCTCTGAAGGGTACTAATGGACAACGTTTTACCTTCTCCTTCAGACCCGGGAAGTGTCGTCATGGACATAAAATAGTTTTTCCTTCCCAAGACGGGAAGCGCACTTACAGCGATCGGTCTCATGGTGGCTGCCGAGGGTTAGCGTTTGCTATACAAGCCACCCGTCTTCTGCTCTGAAGGGTACTCATGGACATAGTTGTACCTTCTTTTTAAGACGGGGAAGTGTCGTCATGGACATAAAATTGTTTGGGTGACAAGCAGAAAAACTAGGCTAATACAGATTCTAAAACAAACAAAAGCCGTAGGCCAGTCGCACCTCAGCGTCGTCAGGGAATCGGTCCAACGGCTCCAGCGCGTACATGGCGCGCGAGAACTCCATCGCCGTCGCCCTCTCCACAAACGTAACCCCCCACGCGGCCTTCTCGTAGGTAGCTTCCTCCGGCGCGGGGGGATCGGCGGCTCCCACCGACACGCCCGAGGACACCATCACGGCGGACGAAGCCTCCAGGGCTTCTTCCTCTCCCCTCTCCTTCTCGCCCCATTCCTCCCCATCCTCATCCAAATCCTCCTCCTCCTCCTCCTCCTCGTCCTCGTCCTCGTCCTCGTCATCATCCTCCTCCTCATCCTCTTCCTCGCCCTCGTCCTCGTCCTCCTCATCCTCTTCGTCGTCGTCATCTTCGTTTGCCCGCCCGTGGTCGGCGACGCCGCTCTCATCCTCGGCCGAGCCAGAGGACGATGACGTCCCCCCCCCCTCGCCATACCGCCACTTTCGCCGCACAGTACGTTCTATTCTCTCGTCGAGCGTCACGCCGGGCCCCATGCTCTGCACGTACTCGAGCGTCTGGCGGTTTCGCAAGCAACACACAATGGCGGGGGTGGGGTGGGGGTGGGGGGGGGTATAGGCGTGTGGAGTCGGTGGCGAATCGTTCCACACGCGCGCATCCAATGTCCCTGCCTTCCCCATAAGAAAACCACCAATCCACACAAAGTCATTGGATAGCCACAGGCAAACTCAAACACCAAGAATGCTACACACACACACACATGCCGATAACATTCTTGCACACAGGAACGATTTACGTACGGCACAAGGGCTCGAAGACACACAGCACACAACAATACTCCACCTTTTCCGGCCTTCGCCTCCGGTGGCTACCAAACCCGATGACCCTGAACGACAGCTCCCGCGTGTAGTCGTTCCCCATCAGAATCGCCCACTCTACCACCTGCCGCTCGCTGATCCCGCACAGCTCCGCCAGGCGCGTTCGGGTCCACACCCTCGCCTGCGCTACCCCACCCCCGTCCCCGTCTCCTTCTTCTCTTCGGTGCAGCTGTTTTTGTGTGTTATTGGGGAGGGGGAAAGCGTGGTGTGGTTGGGAAAAGAGATGCCTCTCCCTGTCTGTTCGTCTCTGTCTTCTTGTCTTTTATCTCCTCAAATGTCTGTCTGTAGTCCCGTCCTCTTCTTCCCGTTCCCTCTGTCTCTCTGTCTCTGTCTCTCGATCTCATTCTCTGTCTCTGTGTCTCCCTCTCACTTTCTGCCTCTGCCTCTTGTCTCTCTAGTCACGCACGTGAGTGCCGTTTCATTGCCCCGAAATAAGAGCGGCCTCTGTTGATTGGCCTGCCGGCTTGTAGCACGGTCGATGTTTTTCAAATAAACACAAGCACGCAAACCCACCTTACCATCTCCTCCCACCTCCTCTTCTCTCTCTCTCCCTCCCTCCCTCCCTCTCTACCATTCGTGTGTTTCCGCCCCAAATAGCCAAACCAACAACACCCACCACAAGATCATCGAAGTGAACATAGCGGCACCGCTCGAAGATCAAGAAGTCGCTGTCGCTGCCGACGGCGAACGTCCTCCCCGTCCCGTCCTCGGCGCTAGCCTTAGCGATCTCCTGGTCAGCCTCGCCAGGGCATCTGCGGATAGGATTGCGGTCATCTATAAGTTGTCGATTCCGTCACTCTCTGAAAGATATACATATATATCCCGTTCTGCACAAACCCGCTACTGAAAAGACAACAACAGCAGCAACAGCAGCACCAACATCAACAACAAGAGCAGCAGCAGCAGCAGCAGCCAGCAGCAACAACAGTATTATAGTAAGAACAACAACAACAACATGCTCTTCCGTCCTACTCACCAACAAGAAAAATTCGTGGTGGGGTGCTGACATCTAAGTTGATCATCCAAGCACCATGGGGGAGGTAGGTTGTAGGATTGTTCTTCATAAGGCTTCGTGCCGCCGGCTCTTCGCATGCGGCTCGTTCTTTTCCTGTCGCGTCCACTCTTAACTCTCTTCACGTCGAACAACAGTTCGTGTTCCACAAGCTATGCGAGAACCAGCAGCAGTCATTCGTGTACCTAACACACCGCAGCAGCCGGAAAACGCGCCCACACCCCCCGCACACTTGAGCGGGTACGACGGATACACACACAAACACCTCTCCCGATATCCCCACAACTCACTCTACGATCTTGACGCCGGTCGTGCGGAGGGAGGCGTAGAACTGCCTCTGCGCCAGCTTTGGCAGGGGAAACGCCTCTGCGCTGAGGTCCGGCGCCTGGCCCGGCCCCACGAACGAGCCCCCCCCGTCCAGGGTGTAGGCGTAGAGGTTCGCGAGCTTCTCCCCGTCCTGCCCCCGCCGACGCTCCCTCGTAGCGGCCTTCATCTTTCTGGTCGGGCCGTCCATGTACACGAGCAGCTTGAGGCCCGCCTGGGGGGGGGGGGGGAAAACTGTCCATATCATGTCACGCTGCTATTGTACCGTTAAGCCAATCTTCTTCCAAAAATACAACGGAAATTGCAAAAACAACTCTTGAAATATAATGTCCTACCGGCAAAAAAAAAAACTCCAGGGTACAGTTAAACCCGGTGGATGTGTACTGTCAAATTCCCACAGCATGACCACAGCTCCTGTCTCTCTCACACACACACCAACCACCCGAACAAAAAGGCGTCGGAACAAATGGGCAGTGGTTCTTCCGACCTCCAACCGATCACCTTTGAAGGTTGGTTTTGTCCGCCCAACGGGGCAGCAACAACAAAAGAGTAAGGACACGAGCCATCCAGATATGTACCACGAAAAACCGCGGACTAGCGGGTGGGGCGTCGGTGCCAGCAGAAGCCAACGGGGCTATAGAGGCATCGACCGCTGCCCAGAGAGGGCCCGGTGTACGCGCACAACACTTTTGTTCCCTCGTACTCCTTGTCCCGGAGACATAATTCGGCGGTGCCCCCCCTCCCCCTCCCCCCCCCGCGCGCTCACCTGCCGCAGCCGGCCGACCTCGCGAACGACGGTCTTGTGCAAGAGGTCGTAGTCGCCCCCGTGGTCGACCCTTTGCCCCTCCAGGAGGTGGAACATCCATCCCGATCCATCGATCGCCAGCGTGTCGCCCTTGACGCACGAGCAGACGGCACGAGCGTACGCACAAACCAAAGGAGAGCGTTCGCGTTTTATTTGCTTATCCGGGTGTATGAACACTAGACTTGACATATTTCGTCATTGGTGTAGACTGACGTATGTTGTCATTGCAAGAAGTGGTCCATGCAAATTACCGCAACAAATCCACGAACCAACGAGAGAAACAACCCCCGAAACAAAGCCGAACAACGAGAGGCTTGGCTCACGTTTGCAGGCCACAACTCCGAATGAAAGTCCCAAAGCCTTGTACGGCCGACCCGTTATTTTCGGCCTCTACCGTAGGATAAGCTCGGAGCAACGCCGGCCTCGTGAGAAAAAACGGTTTTGCTACACAGGAAATTGCCGAAAAACAAAACGTCCAAAAAGAGAGAAGCGGAGAAGAAAACATGGCCACCTGCCACGAGTGCCTAAACGCACACTCCAGAACCGCGGAAGTTCTTCGCACTGCGCGTGGTCTCAACAACTTCCGAACTGCTCTTCTCAGTTATACTTGTACGTGTCGGGTGGCTCCGACGAGGCTTCGGATGACTTCGATGAGGCTTCGGATGGCTTCGACGAGGGCGAGACCACCCCTCGGGGAAGATGAGGGTGGCTGGTCTGGTCGTGTTTTTGCGGCTGAATGGACGCGCTCACGAGGGCAGTTGTCAACGCAAGTCCCCTCCGAACATACTAAATTCCGCTGCGCTCTACGGAGGCATCGCCGCGGCTGTGCGGCAGGTAAGGCTGCTATCTTGCCATGTACAACCAGCGCGATCGGTAACTGCACAACACCGTTGTCGAACGCGTTTGTTCATCGAAAACCAAGAAATACACTCGAAGAGCCGTTGTTTGCTGCTGCTGCTGCTGCTGCTGCTGCTGCTGATCGAGATACAAGAGGTTAATGTCACCGTTATTTTCGTGTCGCTTCGCCACTGCTGCCGTACAAGGAGCGTCTGCGACTGTTGTGCTGCACTTCGTATTTGTATCACGTGGGCAACGTGGGTGTGATCCTTGCGCGTGGAATACACGCGGTGCCCTGGTATACTGCAAGTGAACAAAGTTGAGTACACTCGATGGGGTTTCTGGCCTCTTTGCACGCACTCAACGCTTTCTCGACTTGGCTCTGCCGTGATCACAAGGCGCACTCGCGGGACGTATGCCTGCCCGTTTCAGGGCGAGCGGAAGCACCAGATGCGCTGGTTGGACAGACCAAAAATGGTGTTTGTTCCTTGTTGCACAGACGGTGTGGAATACGTACAAGAGTGTCCAGCAGTAGTACTCTACGGCAGCACTTTACTTTTGGAGAGCTTTGTGCGGGATGCACGATCTCGTTCTTGGCTTCGTATGCGGTGTTGAACTCTACATTTGTTACCGGCGTGCGAGGCGCCGGGCGTGCTCAACTGAGGTAACGGCACACGACGGTTCACCTGCTGAAGTTGTACGTACACACACCGCCCGTTGGGCGATCATGACACATCAGGAAGACCCGTATGCGTACGAACAGACTGCAGTACACTCCGGACAGCAGCAGCAGCGCTCTGCTGTGCAATGCACCATCGTCTCCTAAAAAGAGAGTTGCTCATGCTGCAAGCTGATCGCTCTCACCTCTTGCAGGTCCTCCATGGCTACCGCCCCCCGAAGGTTCTTGTTGATGTACCCCGTCAGACCGGCGACACCCATGAGACACTGCCCTCTCCTCCCAGCAGGACGACCCAGCAGCGTCGCGGGCTGCGGCAGCGGCGGCGGCGGCGTCCCGAACCGCGCCCTGCTCCCGATGCCCCCCGCCTCAGCGCCGCAGCTTCTTCCGCTACTGCTGCAGCAGCTGCTGCTACGGCCGCTGCCGAGTCGCAACCTCACGGCCTTGGCAGCGCTGTACGCAGCAACAGCCGACCGTCCGTGCGCTGCTGCTGCTGCTGCTGCTGCCCCTGGCGCTGCTCCAGCAGCCGCCGTAGTAGATGCATACCGACAAGCGTGAGCCACGAACAGCAAGGCTACACTCAGGTGCATCCTCCTCTTCCACCTCATCCCTAGTCTCTCTCCCCGTCGCGATGGGGGCAGGGTAAGGAGCGACCTACTCTACAGCAGTTGAACGATTGCTGCAATCTGCAAATGATGAGGCAGAGGGGGCCCGCGGCTAAGAATTGGGTTTCCAAAACATGAGTCATCACCAGCCTTGGGGAGGGTGGGCCGCGCATACACAGCAACAGCTGAAGTAGGGAGGGCTTCAAGCAGCAGCAGCAGCAGCATGACGTGAATATGGCATGAACAATGTTGACGCCTGAAGGTGCATGCGCATGCGTTGCACAGCTTACAAGGAAGGACGCGTGTTTCAATTTTCGAAGCTGTTTTTATGACGAAAAAGGCTGCAACAAGTACTGCTGTAGGTTGTTAAACTTGATTCCTTTTTCATCTGCGCGAACGGAGTTAGTTTCACACGCTGTTCCTGTTTTTGAACAAGGAGATGCCGCCTGCTAACGCCGACTCGTTCTTGCGGCCCGGAGCGATCTTTGTTGTGCTTGTAAGCTACTGCTGTTCTACCTCTCTCCTTCAGGGAAGCGTAGGCGAAAACTGGGAGCGAGAGGAGAAACAAGCGACTTGCCGGATGATGGACAAAAAATCGGACGGTTATCACACCGCAGACACTACCATCAGAAATGCAAATCTTGGCAACAACACCGCGTCAGTTTCATCTCAAGTCGGCGCCATCAGTACTTGTACGGCGTCGAAATCAGCTCGTTCGTTGCGAAATATGTACTTTCGCTTTGTCGATGCGAAGGCCCACCATTCATCCCACGATTTTACTTGATGAGTTTACTACACATGTATCCGACACATTTAGTTCCAAATCAATCCAAATCAACCCACTTTCTACTCGGCTGACGACTTGCCTACCTCACTCTCACTAAGCTTACAAAACAGCCAAAATATAAGAATCCCATTAAGTATAGAATCCGCTTCCTCACTCCTCAGTGGTCCTTCATCGTGCTCCGCCCTCGCATGCTATGCCAAACTGTTGAGCAACATTCTCCAGTTGTGGGCAATCGGTGGGAGCTTGCCCAATACAGCTATAACTGATGCTGCCTTTGCCTCGAACTCCAATCATTGCTGCATACCGCGTCCACACTCCTGTGAATCCTATGGCTGGCTGCCGCCTTCTCGGCTCGCAAGTGCCGACGGTGTGCATCACACTCTCGCGTCTTTTACTCTATTTTGCGTACTCTACGGCCCTTAGCCCTCCCTACCTCCCTACACCCCGATACCCATCTCCAAAACCCCCGAAATGTCGTTTCTATCGTGTCCGCCCCAACTCAAAACATGAAATGCTACCGCTGTTAGGGGGGAATTGGGGGCTATTACAAGCATGCACCGGTAATCAGTGTTGAGTCTATGGAAGAATCCCGCACCCGGTTCCGCCGGATAGGACTAAACCTCAGCGCGCACATGGGTGGACCTCAATTCAATCAACGCTTGAGCGTGAGCGACATTGTGGCAAGCTTCCATCAAAATAACACGCGCCTATAAGCCTCCTAAGTCACTCCAAAAACACAAGCCAAAACAAAAACCACCAGATGAAATCGAGAAAAAACAAACAATACACACGCCCAACCTTTGCCCAACAAGTAGCGTTCGCCACGTGACGGCTCGTTAGGACACATATCTCGTCCTCGGGTCCTTGGCTACCCCCTGATGCTGTACTCACAAATTAAAGGAGTTCAACATCCGGTGAAGTCGACCCCTAACCCCCAAGACAAAAATGAAGCCGTCATAAAATGGCCCCCTCTCACAAGAGGGCACGGCTTGAGCCCTAGAGGTACGTACTAGTTTCGAACACGAAATCGGCTGCGCACGGAGCCCCCCACCCTACCCACCCCCCCGGGACCCCGCCTCCACACCGGAGCCCTACCAAGACACCGACTAAGGGTTGATGGGTCAGGCGCCACCTCTCACTGCTCTGCCTGACTGCCTGCTACATCGATGGCAAACATGACATCACCCCCCGCTGCAAAGGGGCCCAGATAGGCACACGCAACCAAACGATCGAGCGAAGCAAATCACAACTATGCTGTAGGGCCATCATCATCATCATCATCATCAACAACATCGTAGCGGTACAGATACACACACTGCGCAAACACACGAGGTACCACAACCTCATTCGATGACCCTCCCGGTCTCCCATGGTACATCCCCCGGTCTCTCATGGGATACATCCATGGAACATACATATATCCATGGAATATCCATAATCAGCGCCTGTCGAAGGTGGTGTACTCGAGGCCGACCGCGGTCTTCCGTGGTGCATACCCTCCATCCGGTCTTCCATGGAATTTCCCACAAATCAGCGCCGCTCGAAAGTAATGTACTTGAGGCCGATTAGAGTGAGCAGCCGGAACATCACCAGGCTAGCCACCAGAATCCACAAAACCTGGCCCAGCACATCGCTGTGGTTCCCCCTCTGCCCGAACCCGTAGGCCTCCAGGAAGGACTCGTAGATATCCTCAGGGGAGATGGGCGTGCCTTCGGGGGCGGGGAAGATGTAGTTCTCGTTGCCCTCGAACTCGTTGATGACCAGGCCCTGTGGGGCGAATGGGGGGGGGGGGGGGGGGCCTCCGGGCCAAAAAAAGGGCATCAAAAGAGGAACCTTTCTGTTCATGTGTTCTTGTGTCAGAAAAAAGTCTGGGCTTCTGCACTCAGTACCCCGATTTACATGAATTCCGTGCCAAAACATGAGGGTTCGTCCGTGGTCACAAAGAGCGACACTGGTAAGACTAATAGACAACTGCCAATCCTACAGAAACGACCAAGTACCATTCCTCACGAGATCGCGCGAAATAGAACAACGGTAAGGTGTGTTTCTTTGGATAGCACCGGCGGCTGCTGGGTCACTACACAGTATACCGGAGAGAAGGTCGGTTCTTTTGCGAGGTGGGTGCTGCCGTTGGTGCACCAGCCCCAGGCTATTACACACTTCTCACGACCCCTTTCCGCCCCAAAATTGGCAAAAAAACTACACTACATCCCACATTCGACTCTTCCTACAACTAGGCCAACATAAAAAAAACGCACCTCCATCGCCCAGCGAACGAAGCTGATCGTTGGCGCCCAGGCGTGCAGGTAGGAGGGCAAGGTCGGTAGGCGGACGATCATGCCGCCGAACGCGATGAAGAAAAACAGGAACACCGGAAACAGGGACACCGCCGTATCCTGCAAGCGGGTGCCGGCCGCCAACATCTGTGCGCCCAAAGGGGGCCGGGGGGGGGGGGCGAGGGCACGTCGGACAGCAGTTGGAATACATACCGTGTAAATACGCCCGGAAAATGATTACTAATGCCGGGGAGTCGTTTAGGACCGCCTGGAAACCGTTAAGGAAACAGGCGTGAGAAAAAACAGCAACAGACGGACGTCACCATCCGGCCGCACTCTCGAGGTGAAAGCCGAGAGGCAAAACACAACGCCAACCTGCCAAACCCACAGCACGTGGAAATATGAAGGGCGTTTCTCGCAGCAGCTGGCCGATACGACACCGAAGAACATGCCACGAGACGTTGTATCGTGGCAATGGATGTTGAACTCGCTGTAGCGGCCTCTTTTCGGCTTTCCCTCTTCCCGAATCTTCAACGGCCTACCGAACAACCCCCGTATTCACAAGCTCGCCCCAAAATAGGTTAAAGTGAAAAAGAATGGTGGCGAATGACAGGAACGCTGACCTACCAAGTCACATCAACCGCCAAAACCCCCCCTCAATTTCCCCCATCATTAGAGGCAACACTAATCTGGAGAGATGGTAGGCATGCGGCAACTCCAAACCGCACGTAGGCAACTACGCACATAGAACAACAATAGAATAGCAATTGATGCTGGACGAAAAAAGGGTACGCACCTGGCAGAAGGAGAGGGCCACCAGGTTGCAGAGGACGATGACAAGCAAGAAGTACCCGAATGGTTCCCAGCCGTTGTGGTTCAGCCCAGACATGAAGTACACGAAGCCCCCGTAAGTTGCCGTCGTCAGCACCGCAAGCGGGATCTGGTTTCGCGACGGGCGGAGAGAGGTTGTGAGAGTACAACAAGTGCGCCGGAAAAGGGCGGAACGGTTATGCGTCGCGACAGAGGCAACTGAGGGGTGCGAAACGGACTTTGAAAAGTTGACAACAAACACGCACAGATCCATTTGAGCAGCAAAAACAAGCGAACAGTGAGAGCTACACCGCGGGGACAGAGCCACCCCACACCCCAACGTCCGAAACGTGGCGTGCACGCCAAAATCGTCCCCCAAGACCCGACACACGAGGTCAGACGAAACGTCATCGTCAACCCGCGCGGGTCCTTCCCCAACGCATGCCCTTAAATTATCTCCCCTCTCCCCACGCTTTACCTCAATCTACCATCCAGCGAAATCAACAAACGAAAGTACTCCGAAGCACCAACGGCAGCAGCCCCCGCCCCCCGCCCCCCGCCCCCGCGTCCTTCCCCAACGCATGCCCTTATCCTCCCTCCTGCCCCGCGTAATATCTACGATTCCACTAAGAAAAAACAACGACCTGAATCCGAAAAAAAAAACAATTAACAGCAGGCGGTCCTTTGTCTCCTCACCTGGGCGATGACGATGGACCACCAGTACTCCACCGCCCCGTACACCCCGGCCCCCTTCTCGCGGTAGAACAGCAGCCGGTCCTGAAATATTCTCGGGATGTTCTGCTGGTTCCCGAGCATAACGAACACCAGCGAGAAGAATATCACCCCCACCCTCTCGTACACCCGTCCAACCCCCAACCTCCACCACAGGGCACCGTAGAAGGCCCCGACGAACGCATGCCTCCCGAGCGATTGGAAGATGCGGGCCTTGTCTTGCCACGTTGTGACCAGCTGTTTCGTACCCAAACGCGTTTGTATTTTCGGCCGCCACGCAGGGAGGGAGGTCGAGGACGGGTCAGTGGATGGGTTTCACTTGTTGTGTCTTTTCTGGCACATCGGGGGGACGGGGCAAAACGTGTTCCGAGAGCTTGCAAGATGCGGGCCTTGTCGTGGCACTTTGTGGTCAGCTGCTGCCCTTTATTCGTTGCCAACATACATACAGTACATCTATTTTCGGGTACAGCGTAGGGAAGGGGGTGATGTTGTGGGCGGGTCAGTGGGTGGAACGGCTTTATTTTTCGGGCACAGCGAGCGGGGGGCGGGGCGGGGTGTGTGTGTGTGTGTGTGGTTCATCCTTTTTTTTTTTGCTCTGGCAAAGAGACGGGAATGTGGCCAAACACGTGCATGCACGTCAAAACGCACCTCTCGGTGCGTGAGCACGGCGGACAGCCACAGCATCGACCTCCACCCCCTCCCGGCCTCCTCCATCCCGTCCACCGTCAGACCCATCCGCTCCGCGTCGCGCCTCCTCACGCCGGCCTCCGCGGCCTCCCTCTCGGCCTCCTGCCTGATCCCGACGGACAGCGACGACTGTAGGAACGCGCGGCCGAGCTCCGCCGGCGTAACCGGGCGCCGACCGTTGTAGCCGCCTCCGCCGCTTCCGCCGCCGCCGCATCCCGCGTCGTCGTCGCCGCCGATACCGGGGAAGCCGCCGCGGCGCGAAGGCGTCGAGGGGCCCTGCCCGACCTCCACCCCTACGTGCCCGATGCCGAGGTCCACGTCCAGCAACGGGGAGAGCCCGCCGCCGCCGCCGCCGCCGCCGCCGCCGCCGCCGCCGACCGTGCTCGACGACGCCTCCGTCGCCGCCTCCGCGGCCGCCGCCGCCGCCGCCGTCGCCATGGTCGGGGCGATGTCAACGCCTGCGCTGAAACGGGACGGCGATGACGAGGACGAGGTCGGTAGCGAGGAGCCACGGTCGTGCTGGTCGCCGTCGTCGCTCGCCGTCGCCGTCAACGTGCCGTTGTTGGAGGAGGGCGACGACTGGGCCAGCAGGGAGAGGAGGAAGTCCGCCGGGTTCTGGTCGGTCACGCTGGCGGAGGAAGGCGGCGGGGTGAGCCCCACCGATGCGAAGTAGGCCATCGCCCTGACGCGAAAAACAACGGCGTCGTTTTCGTCGTTGGTGTTGGTTCGTGAAGGAGTAGAGATCGAACGAGCCCCACAAACAGGGTGGCGAGAGAGAGAGAGAGAGAGAGAGAGAGAGAGACAGGAGAGGAGAGAAGCGGAGTGGAGGGAGGCGGGTGAGAGGCTTGCTTTGGGAGGGCGCGGAGGATGGAGCGGCGCGTGCAAGCAGGACACAGCACTCGAGCAATAGTAAGCTTTGTCCCTGCTGCTGTCTACTGGCGGTAGGGAAACCGTCCGGAGTAGCTGGCCCAACAGGAAACTACAACAAACCTCACAGACCCTTCGCCATCTACAGCTCCTTTCGAGCACAACCTGACCCTAACCCTAATCCTAAGGGATGCTATTACTAGTAGGAGCAGCAGCTGGCCCAGAGAGCCACAAAAACCGTCTCACAGACCCTCCCACCATATTCCACAACTACTTTCGAGCACAGCCCTAACCCCAGTTCCAATCTCACCGGTTCGCCCGGCCGAAGTAGGCCGGGTAGCCGCCCCTCGCGAGCAAGAGGCAGACGTCGAGCAGCTCAAACATCTCCCCTGAGGGCTGGTGGAGGCTGAGGATCACCGTGCGGCCGAGGTCCGCCAGGCCGCGGACGGCCGTCAGGACTTCGAGGGCGGTCGTGGCATCCAAGCCTAGCGTACAGTAGTCCGTTCGAGACGAGAAAAGCGGATGCGGGGAGACGGTGAGGGTGCGACCGACCAATAAAAAATAAAAAAAAACACGGGGGGGTGGGTGTGCCCTCAAGTTTTGCAGGCCTTAGCGGTTAGACCATCGACCACACGCGTCCTCGAGGAGACGGAGCATTGTTCCCACAGGACCGTGTCACCGATGGCCAATCGTCCCTTCCTACCTTGCCAAGGTGGCTGCAAAATGTGTCGCCTAGCCTATCTGTCCTATCGGACGGGGGGCGGGAAGAAAACGAAGAGAGACGTTCGCTAACTGGGTGGACATGCGCCAGCATCGGCCATAGACCGCATGAGTGAGGACTTAACACACTTCCAAAAATGAAACAACACAAACGCCCGACGCCTCCCTTCTGCCCGTTTTTGCGAATTACCTGAAGTCGGTTCGTCGAGCAGCAGCAGCCCCGGCAGGTCTATCGCCTCCACGGCGACGCTCAGCCGCTTCGCCTCGCCGCCGCTGATACCGCGGTTGGACTCGTCCCCGACGGTGGTCTCCAAAACGCCTGCTCGGTAAAAAAAAACAACACGTTTAAACTTTGTGTCGCATGTTAGCCTGCTTGCAAAAAAAAAAAAGGTGTGTGTCGCACGTTAGCCCGCTCGCAAAAAAAAAAAAAGTGGACAATCATATTGTAGGTATATGCCAGCCACACAAGAGGAGTTTGTCTACATTTAGTTATGACTGTCGATCGTCCACGGGTGGTGTCACACCACCAGGTTCTTTCTCGGCCGGCGTTGGTACACCAACGTTTCGACGAGTGAAAATAGCATTCTAGGAAACGGGGGGCGAGGACGAAACAACACCTCGACTCGCCCCCCGCCTCTCGCGATCCTCCCCTCCGGTTATTTTCTCTCACCCGTAACTCTGTCCTAATGAGCCCCCACGCCTGCCGTCGTAGCCACACTTGCTGGCCTCATCCCCTCCCCCCCCCCCTCTCCTTTCAACTCTCTGGATCATCCGTTGGTGTTCATGAATCGACCCCCCATTCCTCCCCCTCTCGATACATGTCAGCAGAAAAAAACCCGCCACACACACCTTCAAGCCCCAGCATGGTGACCATGGCGGCGACCCTCTTCTCCCTGTCCTCCGCGGTGACAGTGTTACACATGCGAAGCTTTGCGGCAAACTGCAGCGTCTGGCGGACCGTCAGCGACGCGTGGTGCACGTTGTCCTGCGCGACAAAAAAAAAATGACACAAACAGACAGACAGGCAGACAGACAGCAGCATCATAAGAGAGGGGGGAAGAGGCAAAAGGCACCAGACAACCCAGCAAGCACCAAAGACAAAAGGTTGAAATAAAAATAGATTCGTCTTGTTTATCCGCGAACCAACCCTCTTTTTCACGTGTCATTTTCTTTGCGATCTCTCCCTCATCAAATACTAGAACTAAAATTTTGCAAAGGTCGGTGCGGAAGCAGGAGGCACGACCCACGACAAGATGGTGAGGCGAGCGGATGAGGTGCGAAATGTCAAGGCTTTGCCTTGCGCATCGAGAAACCAGACACAACAAGGGCCGTCACCACGACTTGCGACAGGCAACGCTCCCAAAGCAATAAAAAGAGGCCAGTCTTAGCCCGGTCCGCCCGCCCCCGCCC